GAGGCAGGAATTGGACACTAGTATTATACACCTCTGTTTGTGAAACATGTTTTGGTTCATTAAAAACATAAGGAGCCTGTTGAGTGGCAATAAATTCACTGCTGAAAGCCATGGAAAATAGCCAGTAAATCAAAGTTATATAAATCTTAGGAAGGGCTCTGTGGAAAAGTATACCACTCCACAGATGGTACTAAGCAAAGTAGCTATTTCAGAGGAAGTTTCCTGCATTGTGTGAAATACATTCAGAGGGGAAAAGACAACTGACAGGATAGCTGAACTATTAGCTATGTTAGGTATTTCTTGTTATTCGCAGTGGAGATGAGAAAGAGGGTTCCACATGCTTGCTGGGACCACATTTAAAGAAAGCTATTAAAATAAGTATTCCAATAGCAATAGATATATAGATATCCAATAGATAGATAGATAGATAGATAGATAGATAGATAGATAGATAGATAGATATCCGTGTACAGCTCCTATCATTTCATAAGAGAAGACAAATACAGGCAATCCTCATTTAACAGTCATAATTGAGAACAATTTGGTCATTAAGTGAAGCAACCTCTAAATGAAACTGAAACAGTATGTATTTTAATTTTTCTTATTTTATAGGGCTGAATCCTGAAGTTCAATTGGAGAAAACCACTGACTGCTATTCTTCAACATGAGTTTCAGGACATGAATGTTGGGTTTGGACTATTTTATCAAAGACAATTCTAAGTATTGTCTAATTGTTCTAGTCTTGAGTTTGGTTTTCCAAACTGACAGCTTTACCCACTTCCTCCTAAACAGCACTTGTTTCTAAATGTTTATATATAAAATGATTGTAAGGTGTTTTTTTAAAAAAACCATTTTTATTAGTCCACACAATGCACAGGTGACACTTCATCTGCTCTTATATCTCTATCCTCTTTAATTTGTCCTTCCTTCCTTTCTTCCTTCCTTCCTTCCCTTCCTGTTAGCTTACAGCAGATAGTTAAATATGTACATAGTCTCTATTTACAGTGCCTACACTACTCTAGCACTAGAGCCTGTAAACATTCTCTCCCCTTTTTTCTGTGTGTTTGTACACTCATACTTGGAGCATAAGTTACCTTGAAATGTTTTATTTTGAATAGCAAGTATAAATACTTAAAATAAAATTTTACCACTAATAATAATCCTGGAAGATTTAGCTAACAAAATGCCTTTCAGTCTAGTTTTGGAGAACAAAGGTTTTGTGTTCAATAGCCTGCAACAAGGGGAGAGAAAAAAACTTAAGCTGGGGTGGGGGCAGCTCTCACTCCTTTGTCCTAAAACAAGGAAAAACAGAAACTCCACCTTGAAGCTTTCATGCACTGATGCTGATCCTTTACAAGAGAATTAATCTGGACTGAATTTATTGGCTTTGGCAGCTGTAAACACTGGAATACCAAGAGCCAGCCAGCCCCAGATTCGCCACCCAGATAAGTCTGCCCAGCGCCCCAGCTACCAAAGGAGGCTGGTTATTTTCAAGCTCCTTGCTCAGCTTGTAATCACTCAGTGTTGTATTGAAACCAGATTTACTGGCCTTTTTGAGGAGGGGAGCTTTGTGATTTCCACAGCAGACACAGTTGGAATTTTCAGAAGGTCAACCCACCCCCACCTCACCCCACAACATACACAGGATAGGGACTTTTTAGCAGAACCAGTTAGGCAGGAGTGAAGAAGAGACAGACAATTGCTGAGGAATCTGGAATTGGAAGACACAAGTTATTGTTGCTTTGGAAAAGAAAAACACAAAAATGAAAACAAGAGGTAGAATTGAGAAAGGGCCACTAAGAAGACATGCAGTTATGCTCATTTGCAAGCAAGTCACAAGAAGCTCGATAGGGCAAAAAAATGTTTTTCAAGCCCTGGAATTTAGTTTCTTTGCTGAGATACCCAGCTCATGGACATGAAAATTCACTCATTGTATGCAATGTCTAGCACTATTTTATATCAGTTCAGCTTAACTGAGGAAACTATGTAAGAGGGCAATCTAATAGATTAGATCGAACTCATGATTACCTCCCATTTTATGCCAAGCACTCAGTCTGTATTTAAGAAAAGATTTGCTCTGTTTTAGACCATAGGACATCTTGTTTGATCTTAGCTTTCCTATGGTAAATTTTTAAAATGATTACAAATCAGCTTCCACGCCTTCTCTGGATCTGCAGAACCCATGGATACAATTATTGTCCAAACCACACAATTTGCTTTTTAAGGCCAATGAAAAGCCAGGGAAGCATATAGTATCATTTCCCACCAACCTCTTCTTCATATTGTGATGCAGTCCTTGTGCATAACAGCATAGCTTTTTCAAGCTTCTTTTGATCTAAATGCAGAAACGGGCATTTAGAGGTTCCTGTGAGGGAACTTTGAAGGACTCAGGCAAAAATCTGATGGGAAGAATTGCCCAAGATCTGGAAATCTGTGACACTAACAATGTAAACTTCATGGTACCATATTTTTTAAAATTTTCCAAAACCTTTAAAATTACTTAATGTGGTCTGTATGTACTTTGGGATTTTTAATAGGTTGATTCAACTCATTTTAATGTTGATTTATGTTGATTTTACCCATGCTTTTGTATAGTACCTTTCTTTTAAATATTATATTTTAAGCATATACTAATAAAGTAAAATAAAAATAAAAATCCACCTCCAGTTCCCAAATTTAATTATTTGCTCCACAGCTGGCAGTTCTACTCCATAAGAGGAATTGTAGCAAACCAAAATGATGAAGGCAAAGACATCACCATGTAAACTGCCGCCATTACCTGTCTGGGACAGCTAGGTAAGCCCTGGTATTTGGATTGTGAATATTATCATATAATGATGTATGATTCTCCTCCCCCTCACTTTCCCATACACGCTTATAGGGGATGGGGAATCTGCAGCCCTCCAAGTGTTGCTAAAGTGGGACTCCCAACAGCTCTAATTAGCTCAGCCAAGGAACCCTTTTCAGGATTATCCATTCTCATGGCTGGAAACGGAGTCCCGCGGCTAATTCTAGAGCAGTGGTTCTCAACCTGTGGGTCGGGACCCCATTTGGGGTCGAACGACCATTTCACGGGGGTCGCCAAACAAGGCTGTCCGCCATTTTTCCCCCCCTTTTCTTTGGCCATGCCCCTGGCACCCGGTGATGTATAAGTGGTTGGGGGTCACCACAACATGGGGAACTGTATTATGGGGTCGCGGCATTAGAAAGGTTGAGAACCACTGTTCTAGGGCTTTCTCTCTATGTTCAAAAGATGCAAGATTGTTTGCGTTTCCAGACTACACAGTGACATGATGTTCCAAAAGGCACCTTATTTTGTATTCAGTTTTCTACAGGTACTATTGCTAGTGACAAAACTACAAAAAGGAAGACTGCAATAATCTACCGACCCATCTAAAAGGAAAAGCCAGTGAAATAGATGGCAAGCCTGCCCTACTCAAAGCAAAAGATTCTCCTGAGGCCATGAAGCTCACATAATTTGTCCTATTCTGTCCAAAGCAAAGTAGGCTTTGATCCACTTCTACCTATAAACATAGTCAGACCATAAAACCCAGGTTGTATTGTCCTAAAACCAAGCAATAAAGCTGTTCCAAGATACAATCCGGAGCAATTATCTCTTGTTCTGGGGGTATGAAAAATCCATGAACAAGCCTAATTTTCTTCCTGACTTACAGACTTTTAATAGACTTTTTATATACCGTAAGTCTTGACTGATGGCTTGCAAGCCAGATCCTGTCATAGAAATGCTTTTAATAAGTGTTCTTGCATTACAGTTAATTGTGTCATCTGTAGTCTGGAAAGAAGGAATCCTACTCATCTTTCTCTGAACAATTCTTATTTCAGTTTTGGCCCATAATTTATTTAAGAAAGATTATTCATGCAGCAGCTAGGTGCACACAACCATTTTAACGTAAAATGGAGTTATGCAGTTTGTGGTTTAGCATGCTATGCAAACTAGGTTAGGTTATATATTTGGGTTGGTGAATAGAGTGGTTGGAAAGGCTGAGCGCCAAAGAATTGAGGCCTTTGAACTATGGTGCTGGAGAAGACTCCTGCGAGTCCCTTGGACTGCAAGGGGTTCAAACCGGTCAGTCCTAGAAGAGATCAACCCCGACTGCTCTTTAGAAGGTCAGATCCTGAAGTTGAAACTCAAATACTTTGGCCACCTAATGAGAAGGAAGGACTCACTGGAGAAGGGCCTAATGCTGGGAAAGATTGAGGGCAATAGAAGAAAGGGACGACAGAGAATGAGGTGGCTGGATGGAATCACTGAAGCAGTAGGTGTGAACTTAAATGGACTCCAGAAGATGGTAGAGGACAGGAAGACCTGGAGGAATGTTGTCCATGGGGTCGCGATGTGTCGGACACGACTTCGCAATCAACAACAACAACAACCAACCTAAATTGTTTCATTGTTGTCTGTGTTAATGCATGTATGTGGGGGAGGGGGGAAGGAGAAGCTGTATTAGCTTAGTCTTGATCTTACCCCACAAGTTACTATTTAACCATATAGTTATATGCAACTAATCACGAGCATTTTTTCCAATATCCATTAACCTTTCCTGACAAGCAATGCCAAAGATCCAAGACTGTTCAATAACTTGGATTTTTTTTGGGGGGGGGGAGTAGAATCTATCCAATTTAATCAAAATATTCTGTGCTAGAAATCTTAGGAATTATATTTCTTCAACATTAGAATGTGTACTCAGTATGATGCAGAAATTGTAATATTTATCTTTCAAGCTATACCCCCCCTTCTATACATAGTAGAATGAATTCATCCATCTTTATCGCCAGAAAATCAGTGACTGACAGAAGAAAACTCTTTTGATCATTTGAAAAAGAGGATGCACATTAATTTATATGGGCTTACCAAGTTGAATAGTTGAGTTTATCTGCCACAAACCATATCAAAGATGAGTGGGAAATCTACATGGAAACTGTTAGCTCAAGTTCTTGTTCCCTAGTGCGATATTTCATCCACAATACTACAAAATAAGTTTCAGGCAAAATATATATCTATATATTTGTGTGGTTTTTAAAAAAATCTTTACATCAGAATGTGCATACCATTTAATAGTATAATTATTCCCCCATTTCCCTACAGCTCAGACAACTGTGGTAACAGCACGTACAAGTTCTCAAATTGGCTTTCATAATGTTAAAACAAACAATACATCAGGTGTATTTACTCTGTGCAAATAAGATCTTTTGGAATCCTTCAAAAGACAAATCCAATGTTCCATCTGCAGACGTCCTTTTCTTCTTCTTCTTTTGACTAATGACTGTAGGCTTCCCTGCCAACCCTATATAAAGTGCTCCTGTCCAGCAGAACCCAACAGCCTTTGAAAAAAAAATCCTAGTAATTTTAAGGACAACATTTATATATATATATAAAGCAAAAAAGAAGTGATCACACAAATTCCAGCTTTCCATGCCCTCCATACATGCCCCAGTGGACTAGTGAAAGTATTCTGTCATTACTGAGATCCGGCTGTCGCATCTTCTCACAGGTCATGCAACAGTTCTCAAGACCAGTGACAGGCACCATGCATTCCAAGTCTAGCTTGGCCATTTGTCCTTTTTTGGAATGATGTCCATGGAAGCTGTAGTGTAATCTTGAGAGCATCTGTTGCCGCTGGTCCTGCAGTTGTTTGTTTTCGCTTCTGAGCATACGCAATGCTAACATGATGAGGAGCACCAAGATCAGTCCACCTGCGATGGGGACAGCAATGACAGCAGCCCTGAACCACAATTCCTTTGAGGAGGTAAGCTCCTGAACTTTAGTGAGGAGGTTTCGGCTGTTGTCATGTTGGTATCTGCTCCCTTGTCCTGCAAAGAAAGAGGAGGAAAAAAAGGAAGGATGGCAAATTTAAAAACTAGTAAGCCACATCTTCAATAAATATTCTAGAAAAAAATCCATTGTTACTCCCCATCATTTGAAATTAACATAGATATTACAGAAGATCCTTGATTTATGACAGCAAGGAAGCCTACTCAAGCTTTAAAGTGGCAGTTGTTAAATGAATCACTGTGTTTGTTAGACAAATGTTGTGATCATTAAGTGAACCCATTGCTCTCTATGGGGCATTCTTGCATTTAAAAAAAAATCATAAACTGCAGTCCCATGAATAAATATGGGCCAGCTATCAAGAAAATGCAGTCACATAACCACAGGGACATTTTGGAATGTGTGAGTATTTTGGGGAAGGGGGCCCATCATAACTTCCACTGGTTAACTACCTATAAAGGTTTCCCTCTATAATTTGAGTACTAACCAGAACTTGATGAACCTAAAGCTTTATTTTTATTGTATGGCTCCAGAAATACTAGGGAGGGGTGCTGCATCCCCGTTGTCCTATTTGAACAACAATGCACCTCTGTAAGTAGAATTATAGCAAATTGAAACAAGAGGGGATTCCAGTTCCATCTTCTCCAATAAATTATAGATATACCTTACTGAAATGCAAACAAATTATATACCTAAAACAAATGTGCTCATTAGAGATGCAACAACTAGCTGGAGCAACTTGATCTCTTCTGCACAAGCAAGAATCCCAACATAGTTTAGTGAGTCTGTAAGTTACTGTCTCAGCCTGATTCGATTAGAATGATAAATTAAACATGTGAAATGCTTTGCAAATTAAGAATGCTTTAGATCGTATTTTAGAAGAATTTGAACATGACACTACAAAGTATTTTAGCAGTGATTCTTTAACTATAAATAATTACATACAGCATAAAAGCACAAAAGGAATTGAAAATCCCTAGAATTATTTGTTTGGAGCTTATAGTGAAGCTTTATAGTAGATTATTAAATTTATTTTCTATAAATTAGCACAAGTATAGATTTGTGTCTCTTCAAAATTATAAGGCTCCGCATTTTCCTAATTAAATTAAGCTTTTGTTTTATCAGCCCAAAGACAACCAATTATGACTACAGGTATTAAGATGTTTTTAAAACAAAAATGACAGTTTCTATATGATTTATATAGTTCAGGACTGAAATAAAATTAAAGCAGATCTAATTGTCACAGAGAATATCTACAATATTTGGTTCCTAAGTTGACACCAATTTGATGATAGATGAGATTTTGCTGAACACAGCAGCTCATAGCTACAATATTCAATTCAGTAATATCAAAATTACAGTTTCACACTCTTTTCCCAACTTAATTTGTGATTTTCTTCATGATATAAAGTAAAACATCATAATGTAACCCATATGAAAATCCAGATATTTAGAGAACAGAATATGCAATTGAGGAAAATAATCACTAAATTTGAAACAATTAAGAGGCATCCTTGAGGACTGCAGTTTAACTAATGTATTCTTCCATTAATCAAAACATCGCTTATGATGCTGGGGATACAGAATCAATTAAATGAACTTCCTCAATCTGTAAAGCATCAACAGAGTTGCATTGCAAGGTTTGTTGAGTCAAAGGAATTATTTGTGTATTGTTTTTCCTATCTCTGATCCTGTTTCAGCACTGATTAGGTACAAGGAACTGAGATCCATTGTTATAAAATTAAAACTTCCTTTTCATTAACATTTACACATACTGTAATTAATTTTAGTCTAATAGTTTATTTTACCCAGTCTATAATGCACCACATTGTGATGAAAGCAAGCACTCCACCCAAGACATGGATCCTCTGGCAACATGTCAGGTAAGATACAAATAAAAAAGCAAAGCTTTGTGTCTGATGCAAATGCAGATGTAAAAGCTTTTTGGAAAAGCTTTTTTCTGCCACATGCTTCCTTCTCCACCTTTGCTTAAGCCTAAAATCATTAGTAGGCTAACAAGATCTTGTCTGTTGCCAATATAGGATAAGAATGTGACTTACCCAATGGGTCACCTCTGGAAGTAGACAGAACATCATAGAGGCCTCTGTAATTGCACATATCCTCATGGCAACACTCCAGCGTGGGTATGGCAGTGCCAGAGTGGTTTTGGGCTATGTCAACTTGACAAATATCCAGGGTGCTTGCAAAGGAGTCCAAGCAACCATGAGTCAGTGGAGAATGGCTGTTTTGTGGGTCAAGCAGTCTAGAGAAACAAGCACTGAGCTCCGATTTGCACATATAGCCTGTTGCAACACAATGTGCAGCATCACAGTAGCATCTGATTTCACCTGTTACAAAATAAAAAGCAAAGCTCTTTAGCCAACAGGTATTCAAAAAGTACTTGCTTTTATAAAAATCTTTGCCAGGGATTGAGATACTTATCAATGTATACAGCAATAGAGTTGCATAATTTGATCATTATGAGCCATCAATCCTAGGACCACATGGATAATGGCAATCTATTCCTAACCAGTTGTTTCAAGTATCCCAAGGTGAAAGTAGCATAACTGTCCTCTTTGAAACATTTCTAGGTCAATTTATACAAGCTTGGTACTTTCATGATACATTGACTACAGTTCTCAGAATTCTTGGTCAACAAAATTAATGGTTCTGAGAGTTGTAATCCCAGAGCAACTAAAGGGGAAGACTTGACTTGTGTGGTATGAGCAGGATGTTAGAACTTCAAGATATCATAACTGGATTTCAGTTTTTCCACCACAAATAAGCCATCTATTATTGGCACACCAGCATGAATTAATGATGGTCAACAATTAGACCATCTGCTAATGGCTACCAAGTATTTGAGACTGATACTAATGTGAAATAAGTATAATGTACAAATACTAGACAAAGTATAAAGAAGCCGATGTATCAATAGTATTTGCTATTTCCAAACAACAGAATCTGTGACATACCACCCAATCAAACAATGGAACAAAGAACTCTGACACAAATAGTGTCAGAATAATGAGGGGCTTTATGAAAAGAATTTAAGGGTTTCTAATAACACTAGAAATATACACATATACTCCAGCTGTTGAACACCAGTAGCAGCTTAAGCTCTCATAGCAATTACATACAGAGACCAAGTTACTCACAGTATGTCTTACAAAGCAGGTCAAAAATCTGTTAAGCAGGCCATTTACGTATTAACACTCAGTATTTCTACCTGAGCATAGGATTTGCATTCCCTGACTATTATCGCTCTGCTATATGGTAGATGTTCCATAGCATCCAGCATTAATTCTAAGATCCATCAGATTAATTTCAAAGTTAACAAAATATGACAATATTTTATTACTGAAGGCACCAGGCTAGAAGACCAGTACTCCTGCCTTAAGCATAAAAGCCATTTGGGGCCAGTCACTTTCTCTTTACCCATCCCACATCACAGGGTGGTGGTTGTTGTTGTTGTGGAAAAAACAGGAAAAGGAAAGAATATTAGTTATGTTCTCCACCTTGAGTTATTTATAAAAATAACAAAGGTGGGATTAAAAAATTACATACACACAATGGACACTGCATTCCTCACAACTATATATCAGTGCATAACAAATGAAAAAATTCTAAAACAGAGACAAAACCTACGATCATCTTTCTGAACTTAACTGAGAACTTTGCCCCTAAGGAGATATTGAGAAATTTATCTATAGGACAAAAAGAGAAGCATTAGATTCAGCAGAGAATCTTGTTTCAAAGAGGAATTTCTCATGTAGAAGTGCTTTTTACTCCATTTTAAAACAGGAAATTTTATTTACAAGTGTAGTTTTCCACTTGCCAAAATCAACTTCCTTCGATGGAAGGAAGGATGCAAGGGTAAAATTAAACTTTCCTCTACCGCTACCAGCTCCTCATTCACTCAATCCACCATGTGGTCAAAAAAGGTAAACACTTAACCTGAAAACCCTCTGCTCTTAGACTAAAAGAAAAACGCACAGGAAACCACAAAGATTTCTAAAGGAAGTTGAAAAAAAAGTTCCCTTCATAAAATCATCTTCGTTTCGTAGTCTTTAAAAATGAGAATCATTTTATTATACACAGAAACTGTTACTCTTTTTAAAATATATTAGTTTAAATCTGAAAAAAAGTATGAAAGGAAGTTGGAAGAAAAGTGGTTTATTCTCAGCTTTGAGAAATTATCATCATAGCAAGAACTATATGTTTTTCTTAACCTTCTTTAAAATCAACCATAAAGACACCGAATATATTTTATTCAATAAAAAGGCTTTAGAATTCTATTTTCCAAAGCAGTTTAGAAATTACAATGCACACATCCATGCACATCTTACTAGAGAGAAAGAAAATACTTCAGCAGACCTATTCTTTTAGGAGTAGATGTAATATCAAGTCCACTGAGTTTTAAGCATCGTGTACACTTGTGTGTATCATGCTCCAAAGTCTCTGCCTATTGAATTTATGAAGTTTAAAAACAACTAACATTTGGAGAGCTATTTTAACAGAAAACATTTCACCTCTCCTTTGCCTGGAAATGTTCATTTGGTAAGCAAAACAACCATTAAGATTCTTCAGTCAAATGGATAACTGTGACAAGAAAAAAAAGAAATTAAAAATAGAAGGTTGTATACAACACGGGTGATATAGTTAAAATTATCAGTATCAGATCTTATTCCTGATGTTCTAATGATAGTTAAAATTATCAGATCTTATTCCTGATGTTCTGATGCTAAAGTCCAATTTTCCTAAACTTATCTTGATCTTTTCTCTTTCCCTCAGAGTTTTATCCCAATTTTGCATTTCCCCCTAAAGGTCATTTAAGCAAATGTTATCTAACAAACAGATTCAAACAACTGAACATCTTACACTGACAATTCATGGATAAATATAAAAACACTTAAGAGAGAAATTCTACAAGAGCTCTTTTCCACAAGCTGTCTCAGAAAGTAACATGCAGAGAAGAAACAAACCATAAGACCTTGTTTCTGTTTTAACAGCTCATATGATCTTGTTTGAAAATCTTGTCTCTTCTCTGATCCAAAATTGGCTCTTAAACAAAACCTGATAGAGCAGTCATCAAGTTATTACAGTTCCTTTTAATTACTCAGGTTATCACATTTTTTAAAAAACCTTAAAACCTTTCCAATGGAAAAGAGCAAGAGTTTTGTAATATTGTATTTGGGTGGGTGGGGGGATAGTTATTACTTTCGGAACTATGCAAAAGGCCAGAAAGGGTATTTAATATTTTCAACAGTGAACAATGCCCTTTCTGTTCACCTCTTCTTTCTTATTACTGTATGTAGCTATTAAAGAAAAATGTCTGCTTTTAGTCAAGGTGGCTTCAGGAGAGACTGCAGACTTCTCTTAAAGCGTTTGAAGTTGACAGCAGCCAGAAGTCTGTGATCCCCTAATTATATCATTATCAGGCACATAGTTTCAGTATCTGCAACTGTACATTATTCCCAGTCACTCCATTCTTAGTCTCTCTTTGATGGGGCCAGAAAACTTCCCTCTGCTGGCTTCAAGGGCTGTTATTTGGGGTTAATTACACCCTTCTTTCCAAAATAAATAAATACTATAGCACATCAACCCTGTGCTTGCTTATCCTTTAACCTCCTCTCCATGAAACATGGCAATTATGGGACACGTCAACTTTCCCATTCTCTCCTCTCCCCTGCCTTGAACGGTACCTTTTATTTCTAAAAAGGGAGGAGGAAAAAAAAACATTTTATGCTGACTGTAGTAGGAACACCTCAAAAGTCTGAACTTTTGCGATTTGCCTGAGAAACAATTTGCCCTTAAATGCTATCAGCCTCACAAAATCGCTGAGTGGTGTGCAGTTAATTTATTTCAAGTTAAGCCTCTGGCTAGCCAACATCAAGGAAACTGGTAAGGGATGGTAGTCTGGAAAAGGCTGGATCTGCACATTGTACTGCTTTGTGGTTGTGCCATAAACAACCATTTATGGCATAAATCCTTGGCAGGCAGGTTTTCCCCTAAGCCAAAAACAAAGCAAATTATGTCTGACTACAAGCCTGGATCTAGGTGGTTTTTAGATGGATCTGCCCTTGCCCCCCCCCTCCCCCTTCCAGAGAAGCCCTGAAAGAGAAAAGAGTGCAGGATCCTCCTCAACGACAGGAATCTCTTGCTCAGCCTGATTTGGGAGGTGGAAATGGGTGAGAAAGTGACTCGCTTCTCAGCTCCAAAGAGCTAAAAAAGTTCCAAAGCGCATCAAAGATGGCCTAAGCCAGGGGTAGGCAACCTTGGCTCTTTTATGCTCTGGACTTCAAGTGGCTCAGGAATTCTGGGAGTTGAAGTCCACGAGTCATAAAAGAACCAAGGTTGCCTACTCCTGGCCTAAACAAAACATTTTGACAACCGCTTGCCCCGAAGGTTGCTTCGCATCAATGAAGGGGAGGGGGCGAGGAGGGAGGAAGCTACGCGGGAGGCGGAGAGGGAGCGTAGGAAATCCAAGCCTCGCCACCACTTCCAAGAACAGGCGAGCTTGTTCTGGCCTGCGCGCCTCGGCCCGGGAAGAAACCCGACACCCGCACAAAGCCTTGGCAGCACTCTTCAAAGGCCGCGCTGGGCCCAGCACATGCAACTCGCCAGCCGGGGAGGGAGAGGCCGAACAAGAGAGGCCAGGCCGGCCAAGGGGAGGGGAACAGCCCCGGGGAAGTGGCGAGGTTGAACGGCTGGCGGGATGCTACTGGGCTTATCCGCTGCGAAGGCGGCCGCTGCCATACTGGCAACCCCGACTGGCCCGGCAGGAGCCACTGACGGGCTGCAACGTACAGCGCAGTCCCTTTCCGAAGACCCTTCTCCAGAGCGACTTCTCGCCCTCAAAGTTTGTGGCCTGCGAAGGGGAGAGGCGGGAGGCCGGATTCTCCGGATTTTCCGTTCCTCGGAGCTTTTCAAGTCGCCGCACTGCTCCGCTCGCCTCTTAGCAGGACTTCTCGCCAGGGAGCCCGGCTGGGTTCGTCGGGTCCCGCTAGACAAGGCGGCAGTTCTGCGGCCTTGGGGGATCCCGTGGGGATGTCCGTGGCGCTACAGGGTTGCGCGCTTCGTCGCATCCATCCTTGACAGCAAGTCCTGTTGCCCAGAATTGCAAGGTAAGGCCGCAGCCTTGGAAGCCCTTGGCTGGCATTAAAAGCCCCCCCAAGGTTGAACAGGTCTACACAGGAGGCAAGACCTTCCCGCACTTAAATTACAACCCGGAGGTGCGGGTGAAGCCTGATTTCAGATCCTCGGGGCTCCTCTCCCTCTGCCCTACCTATCAGCGTGGCCAGTTTCTCGGGGCCGCCTCTTTGATCGTACTCAAAATGCCCGCCACCTCCCCAGTCAACTCCCCTATGATTTTCCCAGCCGCTTTTTAAAGTTCTTCTGTGGAAGCGACCGTCGGGTTGAGAGTTGCCCAGAGGAAAGCGCATCCTAAGCGTTCGGTGTACATTTCCTTTTTTCTCCAGGGGTTGCCCTAGGTCTGGGCGCCTTTTGCAGTCTTGCCGCTTTATCTGTCATGTGGGCGCGTGCAGAGAGCTTGAAAGCCCCCAGTGTTGGGCAAGTTCGTCGGACTAAGGCACCACCACTGCTTTGGCACGCAGGATCCTGGTTACCTTCACTCATCACAATTAATCCAATTCTCAGGATTCGCACCGCGCACCAAACTAAATACGAACCATACCGATTGTGTTCCCACCATGCGCTGAACGATGAAAAACCTTAAGTTAAAAACAAGTTGGGCATGGTGGGAAACGCAGACTCTACCCTGGACCGCGATTCACCCGCTGGTCGGCGAGCCTCGCACCGCCCCTAAAGACCGAGTGGTACATCGGTCCTCAAAAACCCACTTCTCTCACTCAGCACCCACTCCGCAAGCGCGTTTCTTTCCCCCTGTTCTTTTCGCTCCAAGACCGGCCCCGCCACGAACCCTCCACGCTCCAAACCTTGAACCAGACTAGGAAAAAGCGGCATCTCCACCCCCGCGCGATCGTGGGAGGTTCCCCGGAATGCCTCGTCCTTCCGAAGTACCCCGGCGCTGGCGCTCACCTTTAGTCAATAGGATGGCTATGGCGCACAGCTCCAGTTGTAGCCAGATGAAGAAGAAACTGGAGTGACGCTCCATTGAGGACCCTCCTGTCTGGCTTTTTTTGCTGCCGGACGTACCGAGATCGCTTCACCTTGCGACACCGCAAGGAAGGGCTCCGATCGGACAACGCATCGACCCTTCCTAAGAACGAACCGTCTTCTCGTGTCGGCCGTCCTGCAGTCCCAGATTCCAGCAGGGCCCGCCGGACCCTGGAAATGCAGGATTGGCAAGGAAGCCCCTTCAGCTGCAACCACACCGGGCGTACGGAGAACCGATCCTCCGGCCGCTGCAGCGCTCTGCCCGCGCAGACCTTGTTCCTCGCCACTTTCCTAAAGCCAGCGCGCAGGGGAGACAGTACGGCGTCCCCACTCCCCTTTACGCCCGATTCTTGCTCTGTAAATAATGCGTCCGCCCCGCCGCCTGACCCCACCTCGGTCCGCCCCTCGCCCCGCCCATAGCCATTGTAGTAGGCGGGCCGAGGTGGCGCTCAAACTAGCGGAGTTTGGCAAGCGAAGGGTGGAGAGGCTGACCCTGGAAGAAGGTCCGTTCTTACTCGCTTTCTTCTGGGTTTTTAGGGTCAGAATTTAGGATCGTGCAAATGGGCAGCGACGATTAGTTCAACGAACGCCGCGTTGTGGGAAAGGCATGCTCTGTCCTTTTTTTGGTTTGTATTGTTTTAACTTGGGGGGGGGGGTTCAGAATCACCCTGCGCGCCAAGTTCTGTGCCAGGAATGCCTGCTTCCGACGAAATAAAGCTCGCGGATAGGTTTTTATGGCCTAGAAACCCATAAAATGAAATGAGAGATCACAAGGCAGGTGGGGCTATGTGGCCAAGAGAACTAAAGGGGAGTGGGAGGTGGGATGAAGAAGAGGTTTGGCGGGGAGCAGCTCCCTTGGGAAGTTCCACCGGTGCCTTCCCTTCCCTGGAAAAGCGACGGGAGCTTCCCCTCCGTGCGTCCTTCGCTTAGGATCAATAAATCCTCGTCAGACGGACGGTTTGACCAGCAGGAGCCTGACCACTCCTTCGGATAGCTGCTCCGGGAGTAGCCGGCAGAAGACAGTTACTGAAAATTAGCAAATGCAAAAGCAGCAGGCGCCAGCAGGGCGACGCAGACAGAGACTGACACTCAATTATACCCCCAACAGCCCCAGCACACACGCAGCCTGGGCCTGATCAATATCAGCCCCAAAGCGATCTTCTTACTGAGTTGCTAATTCATTTATTAGAGAACTCTCATGAAACAGGCAGGCGAGAATTTCGGTCTTTCTTTGTGCAATTTGTTTCTCTTAACAATTTTCGATTTGCAATGTTGCATTGTCCATCCTTAATTGTGTATAGGCAAGCAAATGTACGCAAGCACATATAATTCTGATTAAAAAAACATTAAAATTCTATATGTCTTTGACAAGGGAGAGTGAGACCCACTCACTTCATCGCGCTTGCCATTTTTTTATCTTTAGGTTTTATTGATTTAATTGCAATTTCTTTGATTATTGCGAACTGGGCAAAACCATTTGGTCAGCATACAAATTTAAATGATTATTATTACGTCTACTGCAATTCTCAGATTTCCCTGAGTTTTACTCCAGAAATGTATTTACCAAGTCTTGGGAATCTCTTTGGGATACTGTGTGATAGTTATATTTTTATTTATTAAATGTATATGCTGCCATCTTGGTATCAAAGTAATAGGTGGCTTACAAGACAATAAAAACAAAAATATACCAACATTAAAACATTAAAATTAGTAGGCATTGGATCAAACTAGGAACTGGTACACGAGAAGTATGGCGATGAGATCTCCTCATTTCATCAAAACAAGACCCTTCTCATTACAATTACAATGATGGAAGGATCAGTGAACAGATTAATAGAGCATGTAGCTATGTATGTGCTTCCCAGTCAGTTTTTGACTCTTGGCAATTGCCTGGATGAGCCCCTGCAGTTTTCTTGGCAAGTGATTAGCCATTGCCTCCTTCATTAGAATTGGGAGAAAGTGACTGGCCCATGTTCATCCAGCTGTCTTCATGTCCAGGAAACCTGGTTCTTGTTGTCTAACCTAGTGTCTTAACCATTACACCAGATCGGTTCTTTCATGATACACAAAAGGGAAACGGGTGCTTAGATAGCATGACTGTGACCACCATCTTGATTTTAAATCTGTGTGGAGGCACCTGCCATTCATCCCTTCCCTGCAACCCTCTTATATTCAAAGAGACAGAAGTCTTTTTATTTATTTATGCAATTTATCTGAATGTAGGATGGATTTTAGGTGGCTGACATATTGGTATTGCATCGAACATTGTCATAGATGCTTTGGAATATAAGCATTTTGGCGGTGCTTCAAATAAGTTTCTGATGCCTCCTTGATTTCTGATAGAATACAGTCAAAGGAAACCATATGCAAATATTCACTGAGTTAGTGCAATAAAATCTTTGAAAGAGGCTTCTTCAACCTTTTTTTAAAACAACATCTAAGCTGAGATTACAATTGTCTATAAAACTATGTTGAACAGATCTTAATGCCTACAATGAATCTTATAATCAGTTTCAGGATAAAAGGAAATAAATGTGACATGTCACTGGTACAAGATGGATTTTCTCTCCACAATATGGACACCCACCAAAAAGATTCTTTTTTATAAGAAAAGTTTACATTTTTCAGGTTATATTACACTTCACATACATTTTGTCACTTGGGCTCATTTCAGTGTTCTGTCAGCTAATCTAGAAGAAAGATACAGGAGATTCCCTTAATGCAAGGGTGTCAAACTCAATTTCACTAAGGGCCGCATCAGCATTGCGGTTGCCCTTGGGGGGCTGGGTGGGTGTGGCCAGAGTGGATGCAGCCTACTGGGTGGACGTGGATGAAGTGGGTGCAGCCTACTGGGTGGGCATGGCCAGTTCTACATCATTTGGGTCAAGGGTGCCTGTAGTGGCCTGGACAGGAATGGGAGAGATCTGAGGGTCTCTGGCAGAAGGGGGTGGGACCGGGGCAAGTGCCAAGATGGCCACCACAAAATTGTACATTGGCTCCCGGCTGGCCTGGGCCAGGGCCAAGGCAGCGGGGGCTGTTCCCTCACTGTTTCCAGGATGGCTTCGCGGGTCTCATGAAACCACTTCGCGGGCTGCATCCAGCCCCCGGGGCCTTGTGTTTGACATGTCTGCCTTAATGGACCATTGATGTCTCTGTAAGGGTGGCCAAGAATAATTATTTAACTCGTTGCCATCCATTATGCATCTTAGAGAGACATTTGTTGTACGCTGATGCATCTATTACTATTCATTATTATTGTTACCATTCATTATTTCTGGGCAATGACTCTTCCATAGGTTATAATGGAGCCCAAGTATGCGGGCAAGCGGTAAGTTGACTAGAAATATTTAATATTTTTATTTTTAATCTTATTCTCAGATACCTGAATTGGCTGTTCAAAGCCTTTTTAAGCAATATATATTAATTGCTTTAATTTGATTAGATATTATGATAGGGCTCAGATTAGGAAACAAATTAGTTTAATTTCCTTTATTAATTTTGCACATACCTTTTGACGTCATCACTCAATATTTAAGAATATTGACATTCAATCCATGAGAATATCCCTCAAATCTCTCTTCCTTTGAAATAATTTCTTCAGTGAATTCTTTTTCATCAATTGTTTTTTAACCTGGCATTAAATCTGATCCATACCCAGAGAAGATCTTGCTGGGGAGATCTGTGCAGAATAGAATTGACAGCACCTGGCCTCTAATCACATGCCACGTTATTACAGCCCATATTATTGCAGCCCATTCATACTCCCCTTTAAAAATAGAAATCCCTTAAAATCTGTCTTGCTTCTACCTGAGGAACAGGTAGAAGATGAAAGAGTAGACCGTTTTATCAACCTTTCTTGAAGTTGGTTTAGCACTAGGAGACCACAAGTGAAAACTGGAAATCGGCCATGGGACTTCCACTTAACTGAAATTTTGAGTCTACAATATTCTCTTGTACTAGAAGTTCATACCAGCTTCAAAGGGAAAATGAGTATCTGACATTGAAAGAGGTATTACATTCTTTGCATTGCCGATAGCCTCTTTCCTTTGTTTTAACCTCGCTGTACATTGTATTGCAACATCACACTCAGATTGTATCAACTATTGTATCTAGTTGATTCAAATTAGATTTTGAAAACCATCCAGTCAACAAATGATATCCCTTCCACTCTCTGTCCTGAAATTACATTTCTGGAGCCTGTATATTAGATTTAGCATAGATAGATGAACAGTTGATAGATAAGAAAAAGCATTCCATACCATTCTTTCTAATCCTTGTTAGCCAAACCAGTTTAAAACAATTATCTCCTATAGAATCTCCCCAGTTGATCTAATCTGATAGGGAAGACATTCTCTGGGTCCAATTAAGCAATGCCATCTCTCAGGACCCCTGAAGCACACACACACACACATACACACACAAACACACCTCCCCTCCAGAACTGTGAAGACCTGACTTTTCATCCAGGCCTTTGGTGAGGGAGAGTAAGATCTCGTTTCATTCTATCTTGTTTTATTTTTTTTCCCTCTTTTATCAGTTTATTGTAATTTCTTTGTTTTGAGTTTCGATTATTGTGAGGCCCTCTAAGGATTTTTAGTACTTTCCCCAAAAGTGTGTTATGATATAACATATAAAAAACAGGTGAAACTTGACTACACCAATGTGGTTGTCATCTTGAATGTTTTGATCACATCCTACTGATGTCCACACATATCTCAGAGAACTTCAAAGGTTATCTAAAGTTTATTATACTTTTTTCTCCTCCTCCAGGGCTTTGCAAAGTGCCTTACAAGGAACCAGAATTGCATCTAGAATTTTAGCATGTGAGAATATACTTGCAAATTTCGTCCTCCTAAAATCTTTGCAAGCAGATGGATGTGTAGGCATATACACAGATGCATTTAGATATTTATTTTATCTATGCCTCCTACAACTGAATAATACTGAATCATCTATAAGTTGGTGGCAAAACATTTTGATCCACCCATCTTACATCCATCTCCATTCTGCTTTGGTGGAGCATCTGGGTTTGGGTTAGGTAGTACTTCCCACTGCCACAAGCCCCTGACTATGGCTTCTCCTTCTTATTGTAGTGGGAAGAGACATGGATTCTCCCAGCGTGAACAATTTATTTAGCAGTAAACTGAGCCTTATGATAAGATCAGCAATAGATCCATTTATCTACATGTTGCCCGAAGACATTCCTTTCTATGATTCCTCCCAGCAATTTAGCTTCTTTTTTTTAATTCACAGATCTATAAAAGTGTTGCCTTAACCATTGATGTGATCCAGGTAAGCTTCCAGGCAAATTCCTGGGTTAGGTTGCCTAGAGCAATGTTTCTCAATTTAAGCAATTTTAACAGGT